ATGTACAGGCCATTCATTGTGAGTTTTTATTAAGCTGCTCTATTTGTCCAGTTTGGAAACAGCAAATTCCTTTTGAAATGAAAACAACTCCTTTGTTTTTGGGTCGCCTGAGCCAAGGATTTGTAGGGGCTGGCCATAGGAGGAGAAACAGTGGGAGTCGGGGACAGGGGGAGGCAAGGCATGGGGAACGCTGGAATGCGCCTCTGTGCCTCTCTGATTTCTCCGGCTCACATTTACCTTTTCCTTGGCTAGGGCTATACATAAATATTTATGTATATATATTCATACATACGTGTGTGTATATATATATTTAAGCAAACCCAGAAGCTCAGGCTGGATGAAATGGCTTGGAGTGGAGCCTTTTGGTGTCGGCCGAGCACATACTGTGTGCATGCTTCTCCTGTCCTGTGCTGCCATGGGGGTGAAAGGATGCTCATGCGTCAAAAGAAACGCTGCTTTCCTTTGACTCTGGTTCACAGCATCCTCTGTCTTTAGCAGAAGAGCTGTTGCCTTGCACATGAAGCAGCAGGAAGCAGTTTCTGAGAACGGCTGAGCTCTGTTCCTGTTGCTGCTCCTGTCCTCTTGTGTGATCCTGGGGGAGAAACCAGAGCACCGGCCCCGGAGGTGCCTGGTGGTCCTGGTGAGCACCGGGCATCCCGAGCATCCACGGCGAGTCAGTGCCTCCTCGCTGGTTGGAGCTCAGTCTCTATTTGTCCGCTGGACGGCAGGGTCTTGTGGGATGTACCTCTGCCCAGGGGAGGGCGTGAGGCATCGTGGCCTGGTGGGACAGCATCGTGAGATCTTCTGTCCAAGGGTGATCTTCAGTGCTAATCCTCTCCTTACCGACAGCCATGTCAGAGCTCCATGCAGCTGGGGTGGGCGAATGGGTGAGAACAGTAGCCAAAAGAAACAAATTTGTGTGGTAGCTGGCTAAGAAGGGAATTTAAACAAATAATCAGATGGTAGCAGGCAAGTGATTTTGTTTGTGTTTCTTCTTGTTTTGTTTTTCCTTTTGAACTCTGGCGATTGTAAGAAGCTTTAGAAGAAAATAGAATTCAGTAATTAGGAACGATTTTATAATGGATGTTGCATTTCCTTTCCATTCGCAGATGGCATCTGTTTGTCTTTTTGTTGGCAAAATGGGAAATAGGAAACTGCAATTCTAGCGCTAGGCAGAGCAGGAGCCTGCGCTGTGCAAGAACAGCAGGTCTAGCTAAAGCAAATGCATTCCTTTTGTCCTCTAGAAATTAATATAAATGAACTATCATCTATTGACTGGTTTATATCACATCCTATGAATGTATGTAAATAAAACTGTACATAGATGCATATCTATATAAAATATCTTTTAATAACATATCAAAATTTGTGTAAATTGGAAACAAAAATACCTATAAAGCCAGTGTACATAAGTTACAATTCTGTATATTTTCTTTTGTTCTTCATAAAAATATATTTACTTTGACAATAAAATGAAAATGGAAATTTTAAATCCCTTCTTGAAATTATTATTCATTAATTTCCTTTGTAGCCAGCTCTGCAATCAGGACAATAGCGCTTGAAATTTTGATTCACCTGGATGTAACTTTTCAGGTGCTGGGTAACAGGGAGAGATGGAACAGATCTGAAGTTGTCTTCAGGATTTTTTCTCACCTCAGAAAGTTGTTGGGAGGCACAAGATGTTTCAGCTCTCCCTTCACCGCAGCCCTTGTGTCTCGCCTGGCAGCCACGCTGGGACCCGAATGCCTTCTGTGGTTTCTGACCGCTGTGGAACAGGTTTGCAGCTGCAGTAAGACTGGTTAATAAATTAGAGCAAGCAGGTTTTGAGGAAATTCAAGCTTTAGTGGTTAGTGTGGAGGAGGAAGGGCTTCAGAGTCTGCTTGAGGCTGACGGTGACTCACGAGTGACCCGGGACAAAGGACTCAATTGCCACGTGCCGCAGTTCCCTTTCTTGTAAAATGGGGATAATAATGCATCATAGTGGTACTGTGGGACTTAATTTACGTTTGTGTGATCCTTGGATGGAAGGAGCCAGCAATAAGACCCATAGTCACAGGATTAGGTTGTGAAAGAAAGCTCAGCATGGCTGAGGTCTCGGTGCCAAGGCGCTTCAGTTGGCTCTTCTGCAAATCCCATGTCTGAAAGAGTGATGTAAAGGACCTGTGGTACGAAGCATGCTTCAGGCCTGAGGAGAAGACACCCTGTTCTGCAACAACCATTGCTTCCCATTCATAACAACGGGGGCAAGAACATGATGGTCTTGTGATCTGCAAGCTGGGACATCTCTTGTACTGTGCTTTTGGTTGCTTGGCCTCCACTGGAAGAAGAAACCAGCAACGTTACTGGTGTTAAAATCACTTCTGAGTCTCCATGGGACCAATGGTGCAGTGGGTCCAGATCTTCTCCCAGCAAGAATCACTCTGACAATGGGAACTTTGGGATTAAAGTCTCTCCCTGAAGAACAGCCACCAAAAAATGCCAGCTGATGAGCCAGGGCTCTCCAGACCCCTGATTACTTTCCCCAGAGAACCCCTATGAGTCTGGCAAGAGGACCGAGGGATGAGGCAGGCTAAGTTCTGTTCACTCCAGGTTGGTTTTTTACCTCCTGAGATGTAGCCTGAAGACCAGAGTCCTAAGGACAGCTGTTTTATGGGTGCTAGTTGCATACACGCTTTAATTAGCAAGCCTGCGCCAAGAGGATCTCCGATTCCCTTCTGTTCTCACCCTATCGACATCATGCATTAAACCAGCTGCTTTATTTCAGCCAGTATCTCAGTCTCTTCCCCATCTCATCTGGAGTTCTGATATTGCTGTAACGTTGGGCAATTCACCCTGCAAGACTCTCAGGGCAGAAGTTATTTTTCTGCAGGAGGCAATGCTTAAAGCTGGAGTGGAGTAATGCAAAATACCCGCTGTTGGAGCACAGCAGTGCAGAAATCTAATATCTAAGCTATGGTTTAGCCTGGAATATTTTCCATGAAACACTTATTCTCTCTTTCTTTTTCTTTTTTCTTTTCTGTTTTAAGTGTGGTTTCTGAGTGTGGATTGAGTGGGTTTTTCTGGCTAATACCTGTAAGGAAATATAAGTTTATGTAAAAATTGCAACATTTTGCTCAGAAGAGTAGGGCCATGTTTGCTGTGAAAGGAGAGTTAGTTCTGCATGAAAATTAATGATGTTTTCAGAGGTTTGTCACAAAAAAGTAGAAATTTCCAAAAGAGATTTTGATGTTTGTTTTATGTGAAATTACTGGCATGCCTGAGCCTTGCTGATTCATGAGAAAAATGTGGCCTTGCCTTAAGCCTGATTGCTCTTTACCCACCCAAAGATAAATATATATTTAAGTGCTTTGATGCCACAACTGTAGATAAGTTTATTATGTCCCTGTTTCAGCAACGCTGCACAGCAAAGCACAGCATGGCATCGTTGTGCATATGCCTAAGTCTCATTGACTTAAAGCATCTATAATTTGGTTTCTGAGGTGTGAATATATATATGTGCAGTGTTAGAGCCTTCACATAATGATCATGACCCAGTTCCTAACACTTGTGAGATCTCTGTATGTTTCTAAAAGTTTTTATTGGCAATTTCTAGTCTCTTCGTCGGAGCTAGTGGTGAAGGAATAGTGTTAGGAGAGGTGAGGAGCCATCAGCTGGGAAGGTTGTACTCAAGGTAAGGACTAAGTACAAGGAGTAAGAGTAGCTATTTCTGTAAGGTGACCTGCCTTCTGTGACCCACGGCTAAACACAGAGCAGTAGAGTGATGAGTCTGAGACCACAGAGCAACGCAGAGGGGAAATGGGAACAGAACCATGAAGTCCCAAATCTCCTTTGCCCCAGACAGTGGCACAGACCACACGTCAATAACACACAGCAGGTTATAGAAGGCAAAGAGTAATAGGATACGTAAGTGAGACATCAGATAAGCAAAGAAAGGTAAAGACGGAGCAGGAGATAAAGTCAGGCTGCACTGATAACGTCTACTTTTGGAACAGATGTCAAGGAGAGAGGAATGAGAGCTCGCTTGCTGGTGTGTTGCACTTGGGACTCACCAAGGTAAAATGCCCTAAGAAGGGTCCTGCTCCCCTGACCTGTGTTACAGGGGGGCTTTCTCCCCTGGCAGTTTGGGAGGGAGCTCAGGGAGTTGTAGCCCTATTGAAAGCAAACCAGCCCATGGAACAGAGGGGTGTGATGAAAGGTGGCAAGTCTGGCTCCCTGGAGGAGTGCTTGGGTTTAGACCCTAAAATGTTTGCAACAGTCCCCTGCTTCCCACCCTCCCCGAGGGGGTTGTTTCCACTTAAATCCTTGTGCCAGGAGCCTTCTCCTTGTCTAAATGGCCGCTATACGTTTAATCCAAACAACCAGGTGACTCCAGCACAAAGCCAGCGGCAATAAGCCGGCGTTAATGATTACCCTGGGCCCCTTGGGTTATGTAAGCCTGGATGTGCTGTACCACGGGCGCTCGGCTCGGACATGCCCTCCCTGTCTGGGAGAAATACCAAGGACCTGCCAACACACATAGAAAGCTGTTTGGAGCCAGCTGGGATTTTTCTTCTCTCCTTTTGACAGCACCTATGAAACCCATTATTCACTTGGTGCAGCGATTGCCATGCT